TGTCAAATTTTGTTAATCTGTGTGTACAATATCAAAGTTTTCGTGCTAGAAACATTCGCGGTTTAGTTTTTTTTTTAACTTGCTACGTTAGGGACATCTTTATAATGATGTCTCTTCATGAAGATGCCTCAATTTTATGCAAGTCTGTCACTGTTAAAAAAAATAAATATTCAGTTGTGTTAGCTGGTGTAAGGGTGCCCCGCACCACTATGCAGATAAATTTCTAACTTAAAAAGACAATCTTCCTAAAGGCGCAGATAGGTGACAGGTGACAGAAGACGGAGATAGCTGATGTCTAACAAGGGTAAGCATGTATTTATCCCATGTCTTCTACTATCCAAATTCCAGTACCCACTGTTGACAACACTAATATCCAATTTTGGTATTTATAAGTATGGTGGTTGGCCGAGGTTATGCTCATATACAATACTTGAGCATATACAAAGGTGCAGATAGCTTGTAGAGACATTAGGTATTTTTCAAAAGCAGGACAGAGGAAAAATGAGCAACGCCTTCGCCGGGACTCGAACCACGGACCTCTGGATACGCGCCCAGCGTGCTGACCACTGCACTACGAGGCCATGCTAAGAAGGCGGGAGAAATAGCACCTTACATACTTCTCCTTTTAAAGGGCGACTGAGGATCAGTGGACCCTAGTCGCCAAACCCTGGTGATGGAGAATCATCATCCACCACTTTTTTTTAGTTCGGGCTCCTCTGTAGAAACATTAGGTTATTTCGAAGCAGGAGAAGTGAAATGCGCAATGCCCTCGCCGAGACTCGAACCACAGGCATGTTGCCGGCACCGTTATGAAGCGATACGTTTACATTACCTGAACATTTATCATCTGTACAATCTAGAATTCTTGCCATTTTGTAAAACAGAAAACCAGAAGACTTTTTAACCTTCCATGTTGCATTGGCAAATAGCCTGTTCTAGAAGTACTACCCCTCGACGCACTTTTCTTTCAAATTATAAAATAGTTGATGAATTTTAAAGCAATATATGTATTAAAAGTTCATAACATTTTTAATAACATATTATTGATATTTTTAGCATACATTTGATTGATGTAATTTATTACATTTCTCACTGATATTTTTTATAAATATTTACAGTAAAAGTTTATGAGTAGCACGTAAGTCTCAGTACAAATTTCTATAACATGGGAAATAGTATAAAATTAATGAAATCAATGAAGTTATCTATTGCAGTCTACGAAAATGGCCAAATGGTAATCGCATGATAGTCAGCTTGAAAAAAAAAATGCAGTCGAAATTTGAACAGTCTAACGCCTTGAAGACTTTACTATTAAAAAGTTAAAAACATTTAAAAATTAAAACCATCAAAAATAAGATTAGCATATCTAATCTTGGTATTCGGGTTTAAGTTAAGGATCTGAAACAGTTTTAAAATTGTAAGCAAATTTAAAATCGTAGCACTAGCTTAGAAGCTGATTCCTTAAAATTTAGAGATATACGAGTATAACATAAAATATTTTATTTAAAATGATGAGATTTTCAAAATGATAATGCCAATTCACTGGAGAAAAATCTTAAATATTATTTTATCGTAAATTAACGTCATGTGGAGAGACTTGACTATTTAAGAACAGCTGTGCATTTATTTCTTTCCACAGGAACTTTGAAACAAATATTTGCTTCAAATGGCAATACTTTCTATATTGCCAAGAAACAAATTTTGTGAAATAAACAATAAACTCATCGAAGAGGTTTCCTTCGAAAGATTAAAAATATAGATAATTTGCATATCTATATTTGTTGCCAGTTTCCCAACAGCAATCCTTATCCTCATATTTAGAGTCATTAGCTGAGACTCTATCAATAAGCTTAGAATTAAGGACTCTCGGTTTTCAAAAATAAATACAAAATATTTTGAACTATTTTTTAACCTTCAAATCTTTCAAATCTGTGTTTCATTGTTAGAAAATGCTGCTTCAGCTGTTTTAAAATATTGTGTTTTATTTTTTTCCCCAAACGTAAATACCTTCCATAATTAATTTCTTTAGGACAGTTAGAACAAAGGTGCAGATAGCTTGTAGAGACATTAGGTATTTTTCAACAAATAAAAAAAATAACAAAATAACAAAGTGAAGCAGCAACATTGTTAACTCGCTTTCAAATAAAAAAATTTTCTTCCAAATTTATAATTATTTTTATTTTATGTTGTATTTTCGAAACAAAATCAAAACTCAAATACTATTATTTTTACAATTTTTATTACACATTTTAAAACAAGAACTCTATAAATTGTACATATTACACTTAACCTTTAGAAACAATATTTTAAACAGATGATATGAGTGATTATGAAGAACATATTCATATACAAAGGAACTCGATAATTCTATCAAATCAGTTTTATATTTTTACACGTTGAAAGAACTGCTGAATGCTTTCGTCTCAAGCACAATGTTATCTTCATATTGTCCGCCATTTTTATGAGCCGACTGAAGTTCCTTTGCAGTGAAATCAAAGATGATGCGCAATAAAAAACAATTGCTCTCTGTTATTTATATACACGACTGTCAAAATCTTCGGAATTTATCGCTCAGTATGACGATATTTCCAGTAACCATATCCCTGAAGATATTCGATTTTCTCTTTAAAAAGGAAAAAGAGAACAAATTCAATTTATTATCGGTAAATCCCCGAAGTGTTGTTACTAAAGTGCAGATTTAATTTATTAATTACATTATTCGCATCTCATTTTTAAACAAATTCATTTATGCAATCTAAATATTTCACTCCATTGTTTAATTTCTAAAACATAAATTTTTCATTATTAGGAAAGTATCTAATACAGAAAACAATACATGAAATTTGGGAATTATTTAATTAGAATCAAAAGTGATAATAGAAAATTGAGCTTTCTTTTCCCATCGCCATTCTTCACGGTTTCCTCTTATTCCGGCAAAAACTGTTTTAAGAAATACGCAAAATATTAAAATGTTTAGAAATTAATGCAAAATAAAAATCTTTTCCAAAAGATGTATTTTCAAAAATTAAATTTATGATCAAAAGTTTTATTTTAAGAAACAAAATTGTTCATTATATGTTTTAATTACGTTAATTAGAGTTTTAAAAAACTAAGCCCTAAGCCAGAAAAGAATTATTTAGAAACTGATAAATTTGAATACAAAGTGTAATTCATACTAAATAAACCTAAATATGCCGACAGAATTTTTAAGAAGAATCTATCACAACTTTTAATTCAAAGTTTTCATGAGGATTAAAAATACAAATTACAGTGCCTGCAAATCTTACTTTAGAAACTATCTTTATTCATGGAGTATAAATCTAAAGCTTGATTATTGTAGTTTAATCAAATTTTGGTTACTTTATTAAGAAAATAATGAATTTGATAAACCAAATTAAGATTAAGATATAATTAAAATTTAACTTTCTTAACTGAACGACAAAGGTTACTTATTAGCTTAAGTTACAAACTAACTTCTCGTTAAATTTGCGAGTGTGTGGCTCAGTAAATCAAAGTTTGAAACGTTTTCTCTAAATCATTAGTTCCTTTCAAAGTTACATTCCTTTGCAGAATGTAACTACTTCCTTTGCGGAAGTAGGGTTGCAGTGTTCTGAATTAAAGAGCGGTTACCAAAAATTGTGTATCAAAAATATCTGAAATAAAGGGAATCAATCGCATTCAAATGATAAAAAAATTCCCATATAATTAGTGATTTTTTCCCCTTATTTCCGAAAAAAAATTCCTGTAATACAAATGCGAATTAATTTAATGCGAGTTAATAAAATAATACTTAAATAAATTGTGGAGAATTTATTTTAGTAAATAAATTTAAAAAATAAATTAAATTAAAAAAATTTATTCTTGAAATAAACTACTTTCTATGAATGCTTACTATTTGCAAACTTTCAGAAAATTATCTAAAAAGGATTGAATTAATTTACTGGCTTCTTAAAAAGATGCATTCTGAGTAGTTTTATTTTCAGTTTGAAGAATTGGAATTACAGGGAAAATTTTTAAAAAGGCAAGTAAATAAGTTTAATCCTAAAAAGGAACAAGTGGTTTGGAGAATTGAGGTGTAGGATACCTGCCTGCAGTCCTGCAGTGCCCGAATAACTATATAGTTCGTTCTAGGAATTGCTATTGACCGAATGTTTTCATTCTCTGTATAGTTGGCTTTGTGATCCATAACACTCTTCGCAGCAAAAGTCGTTTTACAAGCTGAACGCGAATTAGCAAAATTCTGATTAGGAGAAAAACTTTTTATTGCCGTGTCGTAAAGGGGTGCTTATTACACAAAATGAAATATAATGTGTAATTATACTACATGGTAAATTAATAATGAAATTGAGTTAAGGCTATAATAATAATTTAGCTACATATTTGTTTTAGCTATTTGAGATAAAAGACCTCAAAGGTTTTGTATAATTAAGAATTTTTTAAATTTGTTGCAAGGATGGATTATTGTAAGAATTTCTGGGTAGTGCGAGAGAACATTTCTATGAAATTTCTGAATAGTTTTTAGATGTCTCTACTTCTTACACATACACAGATTTTGATCAACGGCTTCATGAGAGCACTTTATTTCTGTCTTTTTTTTTAAAAATATTTTTAAAATATTACTTGTCAATGCACTTATTTTATACACTAGGATTGTGATTTTTATTTTATCGACAAAACAGTGCATATATGAAGCCTTTGACTGCTTGTTTTTCAGAAAATTCTAGAAAGATTTAAAATAATTTAAATGTATCTAGTTAACAGTAATTCATTTCATTAATTTAAACGCATTATCACGAAATTCTAAAATATACAAAATTTTAATTATTGCTATAAAAATAATCATTAATTATCATTATTAAATAAACAATGAACTAAATATAGACAATAATGTAGGCATATACGATGTTGAATAGTTATATTACAGGCATTTAATTATTTTGCCTTTGTAGTTTATTCAATAATACGTTATCAAAAATTATTGAATAGTGATAAAGAAAATTACAAATAATTAAAAGAATTGCATAATGAAAGAAATTCAGATAACGTAAAAAATGGGCAACATTTTCTTTCTTTGTTTTTTGAGCGATATGAAGTAAATTATAATGATAATTAATGTTGATTCATACTTTTAAAACTTTTATAATTCTTTTCTAACTGTATTTTATTGTATCCTGTGTTTAGGTCTTATATAAAATAATAATAATAATAAATTAAATAAATAAAATAAAATAAAAAATAAATAAATAAATTTTCCCACTTCACTCTTCGTATGATTTATAAAAATCTGTCTTCAATGAATTGTATGCATTCGCAAGGAAGGATAATTTATTCTCTTTTAGGAGTGCATTATACCATATGTATATTTTAGGCAAACATTAAATACAAAAAATTTTTAAATAAAATATATTTCGTTCATGAGAGTAAATTATGAAGAGGAACAAAATATCTTGTTTTATAATTGCAAACAAAATGATCAGTTTAATTATTCAAGTAAAATTATTGTTAATCTAATGAAAACGTTCCTCATTCTTTATGTATCATTTTGCATGCCTTCATATTCCTATTTTAGTGTTATCATACTGTTTCTAAACTTTCAATCTATATAATTTCATTGTAAGTTTCATTTGTAAGTTTCATTTGTTTCACTTCTCATTTGTAAGTTTTTAGATAAAAAATTAAGTTTTTCCACTAGAAGCATGACGCATATATGTTATGAACAAATGATTTATAGAGTATTATATATAATGATCGTAATTCTAGAACAAAGTGATAAATATTTATCAATTCATCTCCTTGAATGGATATTAGACAAAAAATTTTAAAACGATTAACAGAGATTTTTATTTCTTTAAATAATTCCATTATTTAAATTATTCCTTCATTAAGGAGTTCCTTCATTAAGAGCGCTATCAGCATGTACAGGAAGAGGGTGAAATGTAATTCGAGATATAGTTAAAATTATTCTGATACCAACATTTTTTTCCAATTTAAAACCAATCTATTGTTTAAAGCTCCGCAGAACGTTCACAGTGCTCATTGTAACATAAGTTAATGTTTAACGAAGCAATTTTGATTATAAAATAACATAATTCTTTATGTTGCCAAAGTAGCTCAATATTTTATTATATTATTCTTAAAAATAGGCAAACTTATATCTTTATGATGTGTATGAAATAATTAAATAACAAAGTTTAATTTAAATCGATCTAAAGTTAAGTTATAGAAAAAATTAACAAAAAATTCTTGGACAGCTACCATTGTTTGTATTAAAAATAAATAAAATAGGAGAAACTTTTAGCCCTCCTGGAAATCTCCAAGGACTATTTATATATTAATCACTTTAGTATAACACATTGATCATTTTTTTTCATAATATGTTTGTTAGAAATCTTAATTGTTGAATGAATCAAATCAAAATACCATTTTTCTGGTCATTATTAATAATAGTCTATATTTAGAAAAAAAAAATGAAATCCATGACTCGTTTGGAGCAAACTCGGGTAGTCTTTTTAAAAGATCTGGCACCAACTCCCTCTGTGCCAGTTACAACAGTTCAGGGCTCCGAATAGGCCTCGACTGACAGAAGTTCCAAGCAGTCACATTATATACATGCGGAACCACAGCGGCATACTCATATATGCATACTCCTACGCAGCAGAGAGGCGATTGGAAGCGGAATGCTCCGACGTCACTTTCACCTGATGAAGGACATGGAGGCGGTGTGTTCGAGGGCCTTGCGCCGCAAGGAGGCTATGCTGGTACCGCGCCACATGTCGCTGGTCTCGGCGGCCGCCGCAGCGCCCATCGCTCCCATGCCCATGGCGCAGGCGAGCTGAGGCGGTGAGGAAGAGCCGGAGGAGCTGGGCGGCGTAGCCCCGGAAGCCGTCGGCATGCTGGCCGCTATGCCCGCCGACACCGGTGCCAGCCCTGGTGGAGGGGCGACCGCGGGCGCTGTGCTCAGGGAGTTGAGGCCCCCGTACGGCGACTGGTACATGGACGAGCAGGCGCTCGTGGTGATGGAGGGCAGAGAGTTGGGAGCCAGCTGCGTTGATACCTGCACAGCCATATACTTGAAATGAATGATCGGAATTAGAACTGTGTTAGGAGTGACGACAAATGAAATTTTATACACACATTAGGTTGTCAGAATAGATGTTTCGTACTTATGATATTTCCCGAAATCGAAGATGAACATATAATCTTATTAACACATTAGTTGTAGCATCCATTTCTTATTATATATCCCACTATTTTGGCAACTGATGATAAAGGAAACAAGATATTTAGTTGCAATACTAATCACTAGTTTGCTCTTTAAACTACGTATTAATGTAAACTACTTATATCGCCCTCGGGGGCCATAACTGTGATTCATTAGCTAGACAACGAAACTAAAACCATTTGGTACTATCGAATGTTGCAAATAAAAAATACGATACCATCGAAGTGATTATACTGTTCCCTTTTCAGTGTCACTAGGAAAATATAGAGTATGGTATCTCAGATTGGTATGGTATTTTATCTTAGGTATTTCTGGGATGATTGCAGACATCTTTTAGCAGTTGAAAAAAGTAAAAATTAAAGTCATAAAGTTAAAGAAATGTTCAGTTACGAAATTGTTCTCACTTCAAAACTACAACGCTGGTAATATGAACTTGAATAAAACACAAAATTCCGATAATAGAAATATTTTTCAAGTAAAAACATTTAATTTAATATATATTTTTTATTAAGCGAAAAATTAAGCAAAATCTAATTTGAAAAAAAAAAAAAAAATCGTGTAAAAACGTAAAATGAACTGGAACTTGTTGGTTTGCGGTTGTATGTCAAAACTTTGAATTGCTCCGATATTAGAAAAAACCATTGTAAATTCTAAATAATTGTTTTCGGATAATTACTTAACAGACATTTATTTTACCAAGCAAAATCCATTAAATTTTAATAACATAATTACATTGTTTTCTTGATAAATAATATTATTTTATTAAATTAAATCTATGAGGTCATCATAAAGTAGATGGTTTAATATTAATTGATTTTGCTTTCTTTCTATTACTTAGTCTAATGAAACGCGATATTATACGAATGCTGAAAGAAGCTTAAAATATCAAGCAAAATGCTTTTCAAGAATTTTCTTCGTGAGAAATCAGATTAACTGAAATTGTATAAGCAATGACTTTGCCTTTCTTGCATCGTTATTTGGTATTGGGTATAATGCAATTAATTTTTAAATTACTTTTTCTGCATTTATATTTACAACGTATTTGATACTGAATTTTTTTAATAAATGCTAGTTTTTTTCATATCCTATTAACGTTAAGTAAGCATTGACTTAAGATCCGTTGGAGGCTATAAATATCCTAATAGCAGTAATAACGATCTTTAACCAATATATTCACATTTTTTCACTTGTTAGACACAGTATATGCATAATAATATGTTTATTCAAACCACGATACTTTGTATTTTATTTCAGCAAATTTCAAAATAATAAATATAAACCAGATTTACTGTTAATATGATACGTTTGCTTTATTCTTTGGCAACTTTATTCGAATATTATTTCTAGTATTTTCCATTCATCGTTAAAGTTGTTGTCAGCGACATATTTTATCTGGAGTTTTATTTTGCTTATTAAGTAAAAGTCCATTAGAGATGCATATATTTTTTTAAATTCCTGATTATATGGTTCATACTATAAGAATGCTTTTGAAGATAATTAAAATTTGGTAATCACTAGTGAATGAAGGCAATGGTCGGAAACATTCTACGCCGGATTCTTTGTCGGGCTCCTTACTATTCTATAATGCTGATTCTAAACGAAAGCTTTTCACAGATGCATATATTATTAATTGCTGTGCTAGATTATAAATGATCCTTCACAACACAGTTCATCAGAAAATCACTTTCCTCAGATTAAAGCACAATTAAATCGTACTTTTAAAATTAATATGACGTTAATATGCTATCGACATCTAAACAGAGATCGAATTTTTTATGTAAACTGCTTCACAAAAATTCTTCTGATATTATTTACCCTAACGGAAGAAAAAAAAACAGTTGTGGCATTAAATCTATAATAGATTGCTGCAAACTATGCACATTTTAGTGTATCTCACATTATAATAGTACATTGAGAAAAGATATCTATAATGTTTTCATATTAATAAAATATTTCGAAAGCAATGATACTGTGAACATAGCCAGTTACATTGATATTCTTATTAGTGTATATTATTGTTATTATATGCTCATCTGAACTGTTTTTATTTATGTTCCTCTAATGCCTTAATTAAGCATGAAAGAAAGAAACTAAATAATTTCAGATGAAAATAAAGCTGTTGTTGGCAGTCAGAGGGGTATAAGCCAAAATATTTCATTTTTCAAGTAGTGGAATACATTCATGAATAATTTAGTATTATGCATAAATTGAACATTTTGTCTATAAAATTTCACTTAAAACAAACATTATTCTGACAACCAATACATTAAAAAATCTATACAACATCACATTAAACAACATTAAATATACATTTATAGTCAAACGCATAGAAGATATGTATACATTGAGAACTTTAGGAAGGACAATTATTACTTTAAGTATTTAAAAATTGTAAAAATGAAAACTTTTAAACTCTGTAAGTTAAGTATTTTGAAAAATACTTAACTTATAGACTTTAGTATTTTCATATACAAAAATGAAAATATAAGTACTGCACGCCTTTAAAAAAATCTTAAAAAGCAATATTCTTAAGCAAGAACATTTGAAAATTAAAAACAGTTTTCCACCAGACTTAATTTTTATAATATAGGATTCTGTTTGGGAAAATGGACGTAAGTACTACAAGCTTTAAAAAAAATTATTAAAAAGCAATATTTTTACAAATATTAGCAACATTTAAACTACAAAAAGCAGCATATTAGTTGCTTTTTTTTAAACTACAAAAAGCAACATTTAAAAACTAAGATCAGTTTTACACCAGACTTTATTCGTATAATATAGGATTCAGTTTGGGAGAATGGGCATAAGTACTACACGCTTTAAAAAAAACCAAAAAAGCAATATTCTTACGCAAGAACATTTAAAAATTAAGAGCAGTTTTACACTAGACTTAATTTATACAATACAGGATTCAGTTCGGGAAAAAGGACATCGTATCAAAAAGCTTCTTTTTGTGCAAATCTTACTAGGAAATTATTTTTATTTTCATTTCTAAATAAGGCAATTGTTAAGCGAACAAAATGAGCATTTTTAAAAACATTAATTTAATTTTAATTTTATAACATTTGCCATTCCTTGTAAAAGTATTAATATTGATTAGACTATAATTTTACTATAAACTGCTTATTTTTAGGAGAATGATTTAAATATTCATCCATTCCCATCTATTAAACTATTTTGCTGATTCCATTTTTTTCTATTAAAGGAGGCTGCTGAGGAAATATCAGTTTAAATTCCATATCAAGAGATGCGACTTCATTTGCTGAATTTTGAATACAAGTTCAATATTTTTTGAATGAACTGAGAAGAGACTGTATAGCTTTCGAATTTTGTATGTATAACGCTTTCCTTTTTATAATGCAATGTTTAATAAGAACCTTTTGTGAACTATCTGTACATGTTACAGCAAACAAATTGTAAAGTGAAAAAGCTTATAAAGAAAACAAAAGTGTGAAATATATATATATGTATATAAAATGCAAATACGTGAATACCTGTTGTCATGTATATGCAAAATTACGTTATGTATGTATTCAGTCACATTTTTAATTGTCTTAAATCTTAAATGTCTTAAATCTTATCTTAAAATAATATTTTTAAATGAAACTAAATTAATTGCATAAACTATGTATTTATAATGGATATTTTGAAATTAATTATAAAGAGCTTAAAAATAAGCTTTAATATATAAACAGAATTTGTGTTCACATTCTCATATGCTATTATATTAGAGTCATTGGTTCACGCTTTATTGTTTGTATAGCCTACGTGTAAATCTGCTTTAAAGAATTTATGCTGACGATAAATCTTAGAATCTGCCTGAAAGTTTGTTTCAAGTGGAGGACAAAATTGCAGCTGAAATTCATCGCAGATTGTATAATATCCTTGAAGAAAATGACGTGCTGATAGTTACTGTGAGTAAATGGTACTGGAAAGTTTGAAATAAATGAAGAGAAATCCTTGATCAAGAAGTCGAAAGTTGAAATTCTGTGGTAAATGCTATTTTTTTCACACTACATGGAAGGCTGACTAAATGACCAGCAGTAAGTTTTTATGGCAAAATCTTATATATAACGATAATGTGTTTTGACAAATACTTTAATTGGGAAGTAACGCCTCTGTGAAATAACAATGTATGATTTCATTACTTCTATACACACTGAAACTTTTTTTCCTTGGGGTTCTTAATTCAAACTCTTCGAAACGTTCTTAAGATATAGCCCTTTTAGAATCGGAATTTCAAGCTCATTTTTTCATCATATTCACGTTTTCTACACAGTAGTGATTACAAGATGCCGTTTTAACTCGTCCTGCTTCTCTTCGTCTTTAATCTCCATCTTGTTAGATTGTAAGATATCTCTGACGACAATTTTTCCTTCTCCCGATATTCAGGGATCGCGTTATTTACATATATAAATTCTGGGTAAATCCAAGTAATATTCACAACTGTGGTTTTAGAAAGAAATTTTATAATGAGAAATCACTGAATTGGGAGCAACTAAATTGAATGATTGAGTTTCAAAATGCCCTTCGCAAGAGTTGGTTAGGTTTGGAAGTTCGATCATTTTATAAAATTAGCCAAAGTATGAAGTTTAAATGAATTTTATCCTGCTAGTAATCCAATTTAGAGATAAATCTCATTTTATAAATTGCTTTTTAAATATTGCAGAAATGTGTTTCTTTTGAAGACGTACCGATTAGAAATTCCGTACTTTCCTAATGTTTTCATACTGTTATCATTTTGGTGATATTTATTTTTCATTCTGACACCGCGTATGAAACTCCTTATTTTAAGATGCATCCCTTAATTTCAAATTCACCATTGCAGAAAAATTTTGGTTTTAAGAGATGAAAATGAATGAAATCAAATGTTAACTTACATTTAAACAATTATTTTCAATAATTGACTTTGATTTGTTAACAATAATAGCATTCTTATTTAGATAAGTAAATTGGGAAAATTTATTATTTAAAAATAATTGGCAATCAAGAAAATTATGCCATTTAAGATGCTGTCGATTTCAAGGCACACCTTGTTTCCAGAGATGTTTATATGGAAAAGAGTCTTTCTTTTAGATTTGAAGAAGGAGAGCATTTTGCTTCAAAAGAAGGAATTTGATAGTACGAAGATAAAATGGAGAAAAATGCCTTTTTTCTCTCATTTTCATGGATATTTCATGATTACGGCCTATTTTAGAGATATGCTTTTGACTTTTAATTAATTGTAAAATCTCATTCCTTTTTAAAAAGATTAATCAGTTCTTTTCTTTTAACGATGCTAAAAGTGTTTATTACAATAAAATGGTATGAATATGCATTTAGCATTTAACATTGTGTAAATTTTATTAGTTCAAAACAACAAACAATGAATGGAGAACATTATCATCTCATAAATATTAATAAACAAAATTCTAAAGAATTTACAAATAATCAGTAGGGCGAAGCAATAATATAAAAACAGCTAATTTGAATAATTAGGATAATTGCTATATGTAAGCTCTCGTTTCTGTTTGAACTGATTGTGAAAGAAACTTCAAGGAATGAGTATTTTCTTTAAAAATTGATATACATTAAAAAGATAACGTTAACTCGCTGTACTTGGGTGTCGCATTTCTAATGATACATAATTTATAGAAATGATTTTATGCACTTTACTTCTGTAAAGACTAACATATATAATCTTAACAAAATACGAGACGAGACGTTAGATTTAATTAAAATCTTTCATTTTAAATAAGCTATAAACTCTTAAAATAGCTTACAATTTAAATACGCTGAGAATCTGCAGTTAATTTGGACGCGAAAGAATCTCCTCTTTACGAAACACTGCTTCTGATTTCGTTCGTCTCTCTTCTCTCTCTCCTTTCTGTCTCTCTCAAAATTTCTCGCTTCTCATCAGAAAGTGAATAAATCAAAATTTTAAAATAATTTCGGACTATGCTATTGGTAGTGTCTTTCAAAAGACCATTTGTTTTATTCTCCGCGAATGATTATAATACTTTAATTTCGTTGCCATTCTAGGTTAAAAAATATTTTCATTTAATTTCCCCAACGTAAACGAATCCGTTTCACGAATATTAATTTTAGAATCAACTAATTTTTAAGAATAGCGAGAGAAATGGAAAGAAAAGAAGAAAAAACTAAATGTTACATCACTGAACAGCCATCCATCGATAAGCATGAATTTTGTATTCATTCTCTGCATTACATAAATATATTATTTTAGAAGGATGAAAGGCTAAAATTTTTCATTTACTGAATTTTTGGATCTTCCTTTTCAAGAATCTGGATTAAAAATGCTTCAATTATTTTGTAAAATTCGTAACATGGATTGGTATAGTGCTACCTCAGAATTTTAAACAAAAGATTTTCGATTTGTGCTTTAGGATACTAGAGAAAAATGTTATTATTTTGTGCCTAATAGTAACAAATGATATATTTTTAATTTTTGAGTAATAAGTAATAAACATAATATATTTTCATTTCTGCCTCATATGCATGTCACATAAGACTTTAATTTGTGTTTTAAAATCATAAATAAAATACTCGTTAATTTGGGTATGAAATTATAAAGTATTTTCTCCCTTCTTTCCGCATATCTTCGTAGCATAATTGGAAGCATACTCGACGCGTATTGAGAAGTCCAGGTCTTGAGTTCAGGAGATGGCATTCCACATTTTTCAAGTCAATATACCTTAACGATTCTACAAGTGGCGCCCGAAACAAAAGGTGGTGGACGGTAATTCGTCACCACCAGGATTTGGCGATAGGGTCCCCTAATACTCAGTCGCTCATTAAAAGGAGGAGTATATATAAAGTATTTTCTTCCTCCTTCCCGCATGCTTTCATGGAGTAACTGGAAGCACACTCGATGCGCATTCGGAAGGTTCGAATTTCGAATCCCAGTAAGTTCATTTTTCACGTTTCCAGCATCAAAAACCCTAAAGATTCTACAAAATGTTTTTTTGAGTCTCATGAGATCTGAAGATCGGAACACGCAGCTTGAATCTATATTTGAAAACTCTTTTAATTAAATGTAGCTTCGCCTTTATTCGAGAAGATTTTTACACCTATTTATAATCTGCCTTTCGTTCTTTTACAGCATTAATTCATTTAAATTATTAAGTTGATGCAAATAATCATCGTTGTAATGAAAAAAAAAATATAAAGACCTTTGCATTTTGCATAGTGCAAAATGCTTTATTCTCTTTTTCAAAATGCGGCTTCACTGTCAAATAATATGCCAAGTCAAAGTATCCATTGTGTCCAACTCAACAAGAGATCATAAAAATGATCCCTTTACTGTGCAGTTTACCGAAAGAATAAATACTGCCGTTTTAACGACACTTAGATGATAATCTGACAATCCGTTGACAATGATGTTAAGTCTGACAAGTTTGATGGATCTTCTTTATAGAAAATTTTCACGCCAACTAAAACACTTTTAGTAAACTAAAAAAAAAAAAAAAATATCCATCGCTGTCATGTTAGGAATTCTTTGGGCTTTATGGGGTCCATTAAAAATCCTTGGGCGACCTATCCAGCATCTTAAAAACTTGCGATTAATCCCTATTGCTGAATTTAAAAGATGATTTAAATATTTAAATTTACTTCAATAAAATGGGTTGATATTTTCTTCTCTGCAGTTAAGCATATTTCGATAAACACATGGTTATTGATAAAAGTTGAAAGCTTTTTACATAATATATATGAACTACCTTCAGTCAAGAATAATGGCTTTGGGATCAGATTTCAAATTTATTACTTAAATTTCGCGAGAGAGAAATTCTGTGCAAAAATCAATGGATGGCAATTATTATTAACAAGTCTATAACTACAGATTTTTCTGTTTTCGGAATGTTTAAAAAAGGTAACAGAGGAAAGGGGAAGGTTATTAAATAAATTTAGGTGGCATTACTAATATATTATGTACCTTCTTATTAAGTTCTTGATTTCCTCTGGCTCTGTTTAGAAAGCTCCATCGTGCCATCGGGCATCACTCCACATACCCCCTGTGGTGCCATTGCCACCGCTGAAGTTGTTGTAGTTGGAAATGTAATTTGGAGTCTGTAACGATATAGTTCGAGAATTTACTATCATTTCGAAAGCCTGCGGCAGATACGTATGCAGCCTGAACGCATAAGCAAATCAGACATGCCAAATAAAATCAGTTTTAAATTTTAGACTGCTGCTTATTTCTGCAATATTATTATAAACAGACGATATGGAATGCAGCAGTGACACTTACTAGAAAAATTCTTAGAGCAAAAAAGAGCTAGTGTTTGCTCTAGGTCGAATTAGATTAAGAATCCAATTCCAGATGCAGATCAGAAATTTCCAATTGTGTTACGAAATTTTTTTAATAAATTCTTTATTTCGCACTGTGCAGTGTTTCGTAAAGCGGCATTCAAACTGAATACGTATAAATCACATGTATACTGAAATGAACACTTAATAAGGAGTAAAGAACATTTTGAGAGGTATTTTATGAACTCATGGGGGCTGCAAAATAAATCAAACATTCTTTTACACTTAGACGTTATACATACATAAATTTTCTTTAAATGCTTGCATATATAATTAATTAAATCACTTAAGTAACATAATTTTTGTTAAATTTCCTTATTTTGGCTTAGGAAACTAAAACAAAACAAAAGTCAAGTAATTTAAAAATATAACAAATGCAATAGAATTTGCAGTATTAGAATTAATAATTTTCTCTATTTTTCAATATTAAAAGTATTCTTTCTCTCAGAAATATGTTCTGAGAGCGCATCTGACATTTTTCTGTTTTCTTAGAATTTAAAATGAAAGGAATCTTCTATTATTAATCAACATACTCCAATTTAACATATCACTGAAGAAATCAAAAATTGGATGATGTGGTAGCTTATAAGTCCTATGTGTTTCTGATTTCACAGCCTTAGCATAAATTAAGTAAGAAGAATATTAAACTGAAAGGACAGATAAAAATCAAATTAAAAAACTTGTAAGTAGAGAAAAACTTCTGGTTCGCATTTTGAGCTTCGTTTAACATTATCAATTCATACATAAAAAGTTAAAAAGATAAATAAATACTGACTGAAGAACTAGGTTAGTTTATTTCTTAAATTATTTATTTGTCTTATTGTTGACATTTGACTGCAAGATTCAAGATGGGCATTGTTAATTTAATAGGAAGATCATGATATTGTTAGAGAACTTAAACTAAACATATGAGTTAAAAAAAAGATAACAAATGTAAAAGTCTAAGGACTCTAATATTTTTTCTTAAAGTTTTTTTAGTAAAAATGATTCCCTTTTATTAATGACAAGTATTGCTTCTTTTGACTTACCGTTCCTGGTTTTAGGAGAAAAAATGCAGGTTTTGTTGAATAGCTATGACTACAGAATTAATCTGCAAATTAAATATTCCAAACCAGGGAGGAGATAAAGAATTAGTTAATTATTATTAATACTGATAACAACCAATAGCCCGCTAGTTCCTAACATATCTTTGAATTAATGTTTGATTATCTTACAAAGCTGAATTCAAATAGAATTTTATTAATAAATTCTACCATAAATACTCAAATTTTTTAAACGGTTTCCAAAGCTCAGAACATTGCCTACTTAGATTGTTTTTATATTTAAATATTAGATTTAATACTACATTCTTGATCTTTGAGTTTTATATTTAAATTTATTTCAGCGTAAAGTACACAATTCTTAAATGGACATTTACAATAAATTTGAGATTATATTTCATTGCAAGTGAAAAGTATGAGTCTTAAAAGTACATGTGTGCTACCTGATTCATGCCTCCCATGGCGGCTGCTGCTGCTGCTGCACTGTGCTGGGACAAGGACTGTGCGAGGCCGGGTTGCCTGGAGAGTGAAGGACCTAGGGGAAGGCCTGGAGATCCCATCTGGGACATAGGCCACCGCGAGTCGGCCGCTGGGCCGAAGGAACAGAAGCCATCGCCCATGGATCCGAATGGTGGCAAGGAATGGGAAGGCAGGAGGGCACCAGGGCTGCGGAACACATTTGTTGTCTTCTTGCGCTTCTTCCATTTCGCTCGTCTGTTCTGGAACCAGACCTGCAAAAGGGTGTATACAATTAAGCTGAAAGTAAAGAGCGTTTTTGATTTTTAGCAAGCAACATAAAGCATGGGTTTAGAAATTACTGTATATGTACTTAATGCTGACGTAGCCTCAACTTATTTTGATGGATAAGCATATAGCCTATACGACTGGGAAATCAAAGTGATTTTTTTAAATGTTTTTGGTTAGATTATTGATGTTTAATATATACTTCACAAAAATTTTCTCACACAGAAGAAAGCTATTTTAACTACTTTATTTAAGTTGCGTCAAGTAGTGAATATAATAACAATACTCAGCAGTGATTAAAATAACAATTCATGTGCAATATATAAAGTCAAGAAATCTTAATGAACATCAGAAGAAAAAGATGTTCAGAAGAAGAAAAAGATGTTCCTTTATTGTTTACAATACTTTTTTCTATTTAACTAAGTATTTATTCTTATTCCAGTATTATATTCTTTTTCCAGTCATTAGCTATTCATGTACATTATTTTCTAAATCTTTTCTCTCAAACATATTTCATTTGACATCAAGACACCTTCTAGAGACATAAGGTATTTTTTGGAAGCAGGAGTCATATAGCCACTTTACTTAACCTGTTCCGCCAAACTAAGTTAATGGCACTCCAGGGTTAGGAAGTCATCCTAGTCATTGCTATCAATCTGACAGTTAGGCCGCCTTTCTACATTTATCCTTAATCTTTAGATTCTTGGATATAATTATTTTCATTCACTTGCTTCATTATCTCTAAGATGCCCTTGTTGCAGTAATAGTCCGTGAACAGTCTATTCACAGGATATGTGATGTAGTCGGAAGAAAAGAGCTGCTGTCGAAGGTGCTCTGTCAGAGAGCGAAAAATGAGCAACGCCTTCACCGGGAATCGAACCATGGACCTCTGGAATACGCGTTCAGGGTGCAAACCCCCACACTAACAAGGCAGGAGTACCTTATATAATCCCGCATTTATAGCGCGACTGGGGTTTTTAGGAGAACCCAGTCGCCAAATCCTGGGTGTGGAGAATCATCATCCACCATCCTTTTAGTTCGGGCGCCACTGTAGAGACATTAGGATTTTTTCGGAAGCATGAAAGATGAAAAATGAGCGGCGCCTATAATATTCTATTTACTTCGTTTGCACTTTTAAGCTGAGAAAGATCAGACTTACATACTCTAAGAATTTAACTTATTTGCATTAGTCTTCATTAACTTTTGTTGTAGTTTCATAACTATAATTGCTACATGTATACTAAATTGAATAATTGAATGTGAAAGTCTCCACTTATGCTTCATTTATTTCAATAAAACAATAACCATCTTTGCTGCAACATAAAGAGCAAAACTAATTTTCCTCAATTTGAAAGAGTTGATTGATCCCCAAAACAAAGGTCATAATGGTCTATAAGTTTTGAAATTCAATTAGGTGTCTCAATGTGTTTTCCAATGTGAGTATCTGAATTCCCCTGTATTTACGTTGCACATGGAAACAACCATGAAAATCTCATATATGAGTCTGTTTAACACAAGAAAATAATCGGGACTTCATAAAAATTAAGAAGCGCCTTTAATCGCCATCAGTGTTTAACCTGATTTATCTAGCTAATAAAACACAACTTAGTCATAAAAAAAATCTCTCCATACCGTTTTTTTTAACTTACTCGTAAAGCATTATTGGGTAGGTGCGGAAATTCTACTTTTTAGTCCTTTTCAAAAGTCAGATACTTGGAAAGATACAAATTTTTATTTTAACCTGGGTTTGATGTTTTTGGAAATGTAATCAGTGCCTGCTACATTTTGCTCAAATGAGATTAGAAATAACAGAAACAATGATTTGCATTTATTCGAGAAGTACTGCAACACTCTTGCTGTACAAAACTGCACAATACATTTCATTAATGTTTGTAGAAAGTATTATTGAGCCATCCAATAAGTAATGCAGTTTTTATATTACTTTCCTTTTTTCAAATTTAAGATAAAAAAAAGTTCTTTTTTAATCTAAAATGTACTCTCCTTCATCCTCTGGTAGTTTTAATAGTTCCGATGACAATTGTTTTCCGTCAAGATTTATAGAAAGTTCTTGCCGAGCTCTACAGAGTTTCGAGGAAGAGATCGTCTTCTAAGCTATAATTTCTGGAACAACTATCAACACTTTCTTATTTTTATTTTTCAATCCCCCACATACTGCATTAATATTCGTGTTAATAATTATTTAAATAAACTCAAACCAAAGTATGCCGGACATTCTTCTTTGTCATTTTTACTTATCGCTGAAAAAATAACTGCTAAATGCGAATTGCACTTTTTAAAACTTGAACTAAGAATAAAAAAAGGTAAAATTACTGGTCGCTTTTATAGGAAGTTGACACAGTTTACCCAATCTCCTTCTGACTTTAACCACATTATTTATGGGATGACCCAATATTTTCAAAAAGGAGGCAGAAAATTATTAATAAAGGTAAAAGACTCTAGAGCTATTTTTGTGCGAAGAGAAACTTTTATAAAAGGTATTACAAAGGAAACTAATTTGAATATGCTTCACACATCAAAAAAAACCATAGCCAACCTTTTCTAAAGTGAGAAAGTGGAATGGTACAAATTTAATATAGATTTCAGCTTTTAGACCACCAAAAGATACAATTTGGAAGGAAAAAATGAAAACTCTAGATTTACAAAATGCCACAGCATAAAATCTGTGGCGATTTATCTATATATATCCATTCCTTGATTTTATATGATTTTATCTAATTTCATTTCTCCGTTTATTTGGGTCCAGGTCTGAAACTGATTCTTGACCTGATTTTCTTGAAATTTTTCAGCCATACAGTATAGAGGCATTAAATTAATTGGAAGCAGGAGTCATGAAAAAGGAGCAACGCCCTCACCGAGAATCGAACCACGGACCTCTGGAATACGCGCCCAGCATACAGACCACTACACTACGAAGGCGTGCTAAGAAGGCGGGAGAAATACCTTGTAACACATTTGTGATACTACAGTATTCCACAAAAATAGTTTCGAATTCGATATAAATAGTTTTTTTTAGTGCTGAATGTTTCTCACAAATTTTTGTTTAAGAATTCACCGCATCATTTTGATCTTCACTCCAGCGGTTCTGAGACTGTGGTGCATTTATTTTTAGGGATACGATATAAAGTTTGGCATTCTTAGGAAGCATAAACTATCGACTTTAAACAGACTATAGAAAAAATAGCTTCTTTTCTTGAGATTACAAAAACAAAAGTTAGAAGAAGCGTGTACAAGGCCCTTTTATTTGAACACAAAGAAATAACAATGACCCAGCTAGGATTTACAGAAGCCAACACTTCTAGCTTAACTTAAATACGTAATGTGGAACTGAAATCAAATGTAATAGATTAGCTTAACGGCTGTCAGGATAAAGTAAAGCACAGGAAAGGCTGTGGTTTGTAGAAAACCTGCGAGACAAGCCTAATGGCTAGAAGCAGTCAACTCCATAGAATCAAATCACTATTATGTCAAGATAACAACGTAGCCTCAAGTAGGTAGAACACGCTCTAAGAACAACTTGCGAAATCTTCGCTTAAATAAATAGGACTTCTTTCTCCCTCAATCTGAATAAACTCTCACTATCCCATTTACATTCTGGCATGAAAAGTGTCGGCGAAGAGAGAGTGACAGAAAAGAACTTCCCAGAATTGTAATTAGAAAGTTTCATTTGGGATCTAGACTTTTATCTTTTAAATCTGAAGCAATTACTAAAGGAAATGTAATGTACTTTTTACGAGATTTTATGATGAAAATTTATATTTTTATTTTATTTCATTTTCGGCTCATAATAATTCATTCGCTATAGAGAATAATTTTGAAATACTAAAATTATTTAATAATTTTGTATATTTTAAGTAATATTAAATTATGAGTAAAATATGTTTTTCAGTAGTTTAAAAACTGCCTCAGACTGTTGTCAGATAACTAACATATCTTTTGAGCCTTGTCTGGGGAACTTCGTCTTAAGTCTATATTAGGCTTTTCGCAACGATCAAGGAAAACAATACGAAAATCTTGATATACATTTTCGGATAAACCAGAAAATAGCAATTAAAATAAAAGATTTTTTTAAAAGAATTTATAACGTAAATTCTTGGTGTTTCAAAGTGTATTTGGCTTTTTCGGATAGAGTACAGCTGCTGATAATGATGGATTTTTAAATCAGAATGTTTGATTCTTCATTGCTAGCAGCGTAGGATTTTTAAGTGATGACCGAATTGGAATTTTAAATATAATATAAATTTAAAAATTCAACGATATCTTCTGCCAGATTAGAAAAAATAAATTTCCTACTTTCAGAGGCGTTTTTTTTTTTTTTTTTTTTTTTTTTTTTTTTTTTTTTTTTATAATCACTTTCCCGTAATCAACAGAATAAAATGAGTAAAATAAAATACATAAAATTACTTTCTAAATTATTCCTCTTTAACCAAGCTCACTAAAAAGTAAAAAAATATTCTTTTATTTACTTAACATTCTTGGTCATATGAGAACCAAAATAAAATCGTAAGGTTATTAACTATTGAAAATTTTAAAGCGAAATTTTCAACTGCGAAGCGAACTGAGTGTAATTATTGTTATATAGGTCATTTTTATACTATTTAAACAATGCCTCAAAATTCTGTTAATGTTAAATGTCTTCGAATATGGAAGCTCTGATTTGGTTTTAGTTACATATACTAATCAAGGATATTATTAATAGCTAAAAATAATTATTTTTACTTTTCAGTATATTTATACAAATGTGAAAACAGCATGTCTTTAAATGTGCTTTACTAAATCTGGTGCTGAAAAATACAATATGTGGCCCCGGAAATTGATGAATCGTTGTCAGTCACACAGTATCTTTGACATATTGTTGCGTGCTTACGGGTTCGTAATGTATTAAACGTGTACAGATCCGATGATAAAACTAATAAAATTTGACTTGTTAAAAATTTATTTTACCAAAAGAACACTTTACTACACTGGA